GATCACATCTTTTAGGATCAGTTTTATGACTTGATGGATCACATCTTTTAGGTTTAGTTTTAGGACTTGATGGATTTCTTTTTTTAGGATCAATTTTAGGACTTGATGGATCACATCTATAAGGTTCAATTTTAGGACTTAATGGATCACATCGTTTAGGATCAGTTATAGGACTTCATGGATAACATCTATAAGGTTCAAGGTTAGGACTTGATGGATCTCATCTTTAAGGATCAGTTTTAGGACTTGATGGATCACATGTTTTAGGATCAGTTTTAGGACTTGATAGATCTCATCTCTTAGGATCAGGTTTAGGACTTGATGGATCAAATATTTTAGGATCAATTTTAGGACTTGATGCATCAAATATTTTAGGTTCAATTTTAAGACTTAATGGATAACAACTTTTAGGATCAATTTTAGGACTTGATGGATCTGATCTTTTAGGATCAGTTTTAGTACTTGATGGATCACACGTTTTAGGATCAGTTTGAGGACTTGATAGATCTCATCTCTTAGGATCAGGTTTAGGACTTGATGGATCAAATATTTTAGGATCAATTTTAGGACTTGATGCATCAAATATTTTAGGATCAATGTTAGGACTTGATGGATCTCATCTTTTAGGATCAGTTTCAGGACTTGATAGATCAAATATTTTAGGATCAATTTTAGGACTTGATGGATCTCATCTTTTAGGATCAGTTTTAGGACTTGATGGATCACATGTTTTAGGATCAGTTTTAGGACTTGATGGATCACATCTATAAGGTTCAATTTTAGGACTTAATGGATCACATCGTTCAGGATCAGTCATAAGACTTGATGGATAACATCTATAAGGTTCAAGGTTAGGACTTGATGGATCTCATCTTTAAGGATCAGTTTTAGGACTTGATGGATCTCATCTTTTAGGATCAGTTTCAGGACTTGATGGATCAAATATTTTAGGATCAATTTTAGGACTTGATGGATCTCATCTTTTAGGATTAGTTTTAGGACTTGATGGATCTCATCTTTTAGGATTAGTTTTAGGACTTGATGGATCTCATCTTTTAGGATCAATTTTAGGACTTGATGGATCTCATCTTTTAGGATCAGTTTTAGGACTTGATGGATCACATCGTTTAGGATCAGTTTTAGGACTTGATGGATCTCATCTTTTAGGATCAGTTTTAGGACTTGATGGATAACATCTATAAGGTTCAAGGTTAGGACTTGATGGATCTCATCTTTTAGGATCAGTTTTAGGACTTGATGGATCACATCGTTTAGGATCAGTTTTAGGAGTTGATGGATCACATCTTTAAGATCAGTTTTAGGACTTGATGGATCACATCTTTTAGGATCCATTTTAGGACTTGATGCATCAAATATTTTAGGATCAATTTTAGGACTTGATGGATCTTATCTTTTAGGATCAGTTTTAGGACTTGATGGATCACACGTTTTAGGATCAGTTTGAGGACTTGATAGATCTCATCTCTTAGGATCAGGTTTAGGACTTGATGGATCAAATATTTTAGGATCAATTTTAGGACTTGATGCATCAAATATTTTAGGATCAATTTTAGGACTTGATGGATCTCATCTTTTAGGATCAATTTTAGGACTTGATGGATTTCATCTTTTAGGATCAGTTTTTGGACTTGATGGATCACATCTTTTAGGATCAGTTTTATGACTTGATGGATCACATCTTTTAGGTTTAGTTTTAGGACTTGATGGATTTCTTTTTTTAGGATCAATTTTAGGACTTGATGGATCACATCTATAAGGTTCAATTTTAGGACTTAATGGATCACATCGTTTAGGATCAGTTATAGGACTTCATGGATAACATCTATAAGGTTCAAGGTTAGGACTTGATGGATCTCATCTTTAAGGATCAGTTTTAGGACTTGATGGATCACATGTTTTAGGATCAGTTTTAGGACTTGATAGATCTCATCTCTTAGGATCAGGTTTAGGACTTGATGGATCAAATATTTTAGGATCAATTTTAGGACTTGATGCATCAAATATTTTAGGTTCAATTTTAAGACTTAATGGATAACAACTTTTAGGATCAATTTTAGGACTTGATGGATCTGATCTTTTAGGATCAGTTTTAGTACTTGATGGATCACACGTTTTAGGATCAGTTTGAGGACTTGATAGATCTCATCTCTTAGGATCAGGTTTAGGACTTGATGGATCAAATATTTTAGGATCAATTTTAGGACTTGATGCATCAAATATTTTAGGATCAATTTTAGGACTTGATGCATCAAATATTTTAGGATCAATTTTAGGACTTGATGGATCTCATCTTTTAGGATCAATTTTAGGACTTGATGGATCTCATCTTTTAGGATCAGTTTTAGGACTTGATGGATCACATGTTTTAGGATCAGTTTTAGGACTTGATGGATCACATCTATAAGGTTCAATTTTAGGACTTAATGGATCACATCGTTCAGGATCAGTCATAAGACTTGATGGATAACATCTATAAGGTTCAAGGTTAGGACTTGATGGATCTCATCTTTAAGGATCAGTTTTAGGACTTGATGGATCTCATCTTTTAGGATCAGTTTCAGGACTTGATGGATCAAATATTTTAGGATCAATTTTAGGACTTGATGGATCTCATCTTTTAGGATTAGTTTTAGGACTTGATGGATCTCATCTTTTAGGATTAGTTTTAGGACTTGATGGATCTCATCTTTTAGGATCAATTTTAGGACTTGATGGATCTCATCTTTTAGGATCAGTTTTAGGACTTGATGGATCACATCGTTTAGGATCAGTTTTAGGACTTGATGGATCTCATCTTTTAGGATCAGTTTTAGGACTTGATGGATAACATCTATAAGGTTCAAGGTTAGGACTTGATGGATCTCATCTTTTAGGATCAGTTTTAGGACTTGATGGATCACATCGTTTAGGATCAGTTTTAGGAGTTGATGGATCACATCTTTAAGATCAGTTTTAGGACTTGATGGATCACATCTTTTAGGATCCATTTTAGGACTTGATGCATCAAATATTTTAGGATCAATTTTAGGACTTGATGGATCTTATCTTTTAGGATCAGTTTTAGGACTTGATGGATCACACGTTTTAGGATCAGTTTGAGGACTTGATAGATCTCATCTCTTAGGATCAGGTTTAGGACTTGATGGATCAAATATTTTAGGATCAATTTTAGGACTTGATGCATCAAATATTTTAGGATCAATTTTAGGACTTGATGGATCTCATCTTTTAGGATCAATTTTAGGACTTGATGGATTTCATCTTTTAGGATCAGTTTTTGGACTTGATGGATCACATCTTTTAGGTTTAGTTTTAGGACTTGATGGATTTCTTTTTTTAGGATCAATTTTAGGACTTGATGGATCACATCTATAAGGTTCAATTTTAGGACTTAATGGATCACATCGTTTAGGATCAGTTATAGGACTTCATGGATAACATCTATAAGGTTCAAGGTTAGGACTTGATGGATCTCATCTTTAAGGATCAGTTTTAGGACTTGATGGATCACATGTTTTAGGATCAGTTTTAGGACTTGATAGATCTCATCTCTTAGGATCAGGTTTAGGACTTGATGGATCAAATATTTTAGGATCAATTTTAGGACTTGATGCATCAAATATTTTAGGTTCAATTTTAAGACTTAATGGATAACAACTTTTAGGATCAATTTTAGGACTTGATGGATCTGATTTCTTAGGATTAGGTTTATGACTTGATGGATCACATCTTTTGGGATCAATTTTAGGACTTGATGGATCACATCTATAATGTTTAATTTTAGGACTTAATGGATCACATCTATAAGGTTTAATTTTAGGACTTAATGGATCGCATCTTTTAATATCAGTTTTAGGACTTGACGGATACCTCTGTTGCTACTATTTCACAATTGTTACCTTCTCAGCGTGTATTCCTTCTTCAAAGGAGGATCCATCATTTATGTCAAGTTGTTTCATTGGAGGATACTTCAATCTATACTTATTTTTTCTTTCTATAGCCTTATATTTTGTGCCTGTTTTTTTCAAGATCATGTTTGAGAAAATGTAACAAAATATGAAAATGACAGTATGTGTGTTTTTAATAAAACTGTTTGTGTATTTGATAGTTAATTTATAATTTAATCAAACTATTATTATTTTTAACCAACAATTATTTTAATCATATAGTTTAATAGTATATAGATTAATTGGTTTGAAGTCTATTAAAGTATGAATTAGACCTGTTCCACATATACATATATTCGTATAAAATAGTCATATGTGTATTTGTAAAATAGAATTTTTATATTTTTAGTTTTGCACGTTATCATTCATTTTTACGATAATTTACATTTAATTTTGAACTCAAAATTAACCTAACATAATTGTATTTATAATTTATTCATACTTTAAATATGTTAATATATACATTTGAAATGAAAATTAGTCTATAAAACATGCTTAGAGTAAATTGAAAAATAAGTTACTGTTCTTTTCGATGAACGCAATTAGTGCACGACACCATTTATTCTTATTTCGGAAACATTTTGCTAAATATGTTGTTCTAGTATTAAATTCTTCGCTTTCAATTTCTACATCGGATAATGGTAAAATGTATGATTTGTTGTTTTTGTGTCCAGGGCATTCTTCAATATATTTTATACAAACCCAATCCATTTTTTTTATTTATTTACTTTTTATGTCAACTTAAAAAAAAATAACTGAAACTCTATGTTTTATTTCGATATTATCGATAGTATTAATAAAAATATAATATTCTACAATTTTCGTTTTATTTTTATTAAACCAATTATGTCTTAAAATACATTAAAAGCTTTTAAATGAACTACTGGCAAAATGTTCGATAAAAATATTTTGAAGTTATTGCATATTTTTGGCGCTGAAAATCGATGCTTTTTAAAAATTGCTGATATTTTTTTATCAAGGAACTTCTTTTTCATCCTCGTAACATTTAAATAGTGTTTTGTTTAACCTGTTTCATATTTTCAAAAATTTACTCTTTGAGTTTTCTGAAAGTCGCTTGTCAGTTAAAAATAAAGGTTAATAAACAAAAATGTTTTATCTTGTTTATTGGGTTTCCGAAAAAACTGTAAGCATCGTTGAAGAAACGGATATTGTAAAAAGGAAAAATTCTACTGCTTTCATTTCATGGGGAAGGAAATCTTACAAAGCAAAGATAATTGCGGTTAATGGTAACTTCTATTTCGCAGATATATTTTTAATAATTCAATTTTTGATATAATTTTTAAATTCCAGAAAATTTTGACAAATATTTTTACTTAAAAATTTCAACATTCTTATTAGATGACAAAGAGTGGTTAGAAACACTGGAAGTCAATGCTGCAGGCTACATTTGCGGACAAAAAATGCTGAATGGTAATTATTTATAATAATCTATGAATTTTGGTACTTTTTTAAACAGATAAAAATTTTTAAACTGATTATGATTTTATAAAACAAAGTACCTAAAGGATTTTATGATCGCTGATTATAATTTCAATCTCTAAAAACATTTAAATACTAAAATTTATAGAATTTTAATTTTTTGGTTATATTAAATTTTCAAAAAGAAATTGGAATTCAATTCATCTAAATAAAAAAAATTTTTTTTGACATTACAAATTTTAAAAAAATTGTAAATAAATAAAATTTTCATTTTCTTAATATTCAAAACATTTGAATTTCATAACTTAAAAAACTCCTACAATTTTTTCATATTTCTTGAAATTTAATTTTTTCATTTCTTATGATTTCTTTATAAAAAATAACCGTTTCATATTGCAGCTGCGCGAAAAGCTCCAAATGAAGAACCTGCAGTTGCAGAAGGAGCTATAAATGAAGAACCAAAAGATGACAGTTCGCTTCAAGATGCTGAAAACGATGCGCAGATTCCTGAAGTTAATGAAAATAAAGTTGAAATTATTGAAGGAAGTGGTATATTTGTTACTTTGATGGAAGAAAAAAATTTAATGTCCTTGAAAAATAACCCTAAAAAAATGACGACTAAATTATTGGTGTATTTATTTGGGAAAGAAAAATTAAAATCAATGTCCCGAACGGGAAAGGGGAATCATGAGGCTATCCCTGAAAACGTTTTAAACACTGTAGAAGGTAAAGTAAGATATCCTTAAATATCTGGAACTATAAGGGATCTGAGACGTTTGATGATATGATTATAATTCTGAAATTAAAACTAATAATGTAATGACTGTTTCTTTTTGCAGTTTTCGTATTTCGACATAGCCGTGAAGAGAAAAGGCTAACAACAATCAAATTTAATAAATGCGTCACGAAATTTTGCAACAATTTGAGGAATGAAAAAATGTCCAATTAAAAAAAAAATTACATTCCGTTGTTGATTGTTTCTTTTACAATGTTTTTAAAGTATTATTGTTTTTTATGTACTTTTAAATTCTTAAAAAATAAAAAATTGACACCATTTTTATAAAAATATTTTTAAATTTTGCAAAAAAACACTTACTTTGTTTTAAAATAATTTTATTATATAAGTGAAAAAATTATCAATCAAATAATAATAATAATTAAAAATAATAATAATGTTAACAAAAGTAATAATAATAATAATTCAAAAATTTAAAGTCATTGCAAGAGCTACAGAGAGAGCTGCAGAGAGCTACAGAGAGAGAGAGAGAGAGCTGCAGAGAGCTACAGAGAGAGAGAGAGAGAGAGAGAGAGAGAGAGAGAGAGAGAGAGAGAGAGAGAGAGGGAGAGCTACAGAGAGAGATAGAGAGAGGGAGAGAGATAGAGAGAGAGCTACAGAGAGAGATTGAGAGAGAGCTACAGAGAGAGAGCGAGAGAGAGAGCGAGAGAGAGAGAGAGGGGGTCGGTACTATTTTTGTGACAGAAACATGTTTTTCGTGATGCCCCGTAGTCATCAAACCAGATATGCCTTTAATTTTCAGATAAATTGTATCTGATGTGCCTTGGAAGCAAGCTTTCAAAAGTGTCTCCTTTCGCTTCAATACAGCACCTTGCCCGTCTGATTAAATTCAAGGTGCATCTCTGCAACATTTCAGGAGTAACAGTCAAAAATGCTTCTCTAATTTTTTGGTGTAACTGTTCTTCGCTTACAATAGGGTTGGCATAAATATGAGCTTTCACATGCCCCCAAAGGAAGAAGTCGCATGGGTTTAAATCGGGCGACCTTGGGGGCCACTCTCTTCGAGTTCCTAGTGCGATCATCCTTTTTCCATATCTTTTTCGAAGGGTTTTCATTACTTTCGCACTTCTATGGGATGGTACTCCATCTTGCATCAACCAATGCTTTCTCTCTTTCTTAATTCCACTGGCTCTTAATAAACGAGGAAGATGTCTGACTAAGAAGTCATTATATCGATCACCATTTAAATATCCATTAATTTGGAAAGGACCGATCTAAAAAGAAGAAATTAAAATTTTTTAAATGAAAAATCTGAAGGACGTATGAAAATGGAAAAAAAAATTTAATTTTCAACTATGTCTTAGGGTTGTTATTATTTCTTTAATGTTTTAGAATTATTAGTTGAAATTCTGATTGAATCCCGTTTGGAATTTTGCTAATTTTTTAAATCTTAATTTTTACATAATGATATTGGATAACATCCTTTGGATTTTTCTGCTAATATTATCATATATTAATAATAACAAAAAAATCCGATATAATTATGTAAAAATTAATATTTAAAAAAATCAGAAAAATTCCAATCGGAATTTAATCAGAATCCCACCGAATTTCCCAGGAGCACTTTCCTAGAAGTCTTTCCACGTGGGGAAAATCAAGAAAACGTTGCCAATGTTTTTCTCCAAGAATTGGTGTTGTATAAGATGCTTACCAATCGGCCATCTATAATTCCTGCCCACAGATTCACAGACAATCTGTTTTGATTATTACGTGGCATCTCTAAAAACAAATTTCTATCACTCCAATAATGTTCCGTTTTATAGTTGAACGGGCCTTCTCTAGCAAAACATGACTCGTCAGTGAAAAGGATGTTATTCACAAAACTGGGGTCACGCTCGTATCGTCTTACGAGCCACTTGCAAAATTTTAACCGTCTCCGGCAATCATTTTGATGACTTAAGGTTTGGACCCTCGTAAAGCTATAATCATGCAACCTGTCGATGAAATTAGAAAATTTATTAAAATATATTATAAACAATTAATTTAATTTATTGATTATTAAAATTATTTTTTAATTGATTTTAGTTTTGATGGAAAAATATTTTCTAGCACAACAGAGGTGCTATTTTATAATTTCACTTTACTTCACTTCACTATACTTCATTTCATTTCACCTCAATACACTTCACTATACTTCATTTCATTTTACCTCAATACACTTCACTTCACAACACTTCATTTCACCTCAATACACTTCACTTCCCTATACTTAATTTCATTTCACTATACCTCAACACACTTCACTATACTTCATTTCATTTCACCTCAATACACTTCACTATACTTCATTTCATTTCACCTCAATACACTTGACTTCACAACACTTCATTTCACCTCAATACACTTCACTTCCCTATACTTAATTTCATTTCACTATACCTCAACACACGTCACTACACTTCATTTCATTTCACCTCAATACACTTCACTATACTTCATTTCATTTCACCTCAATACACTTGACTTCACAACACTTCATTTCACCTCAATACACTTCACTTCCCTATACTTAATTTTATTTCACTATACCTTAACACACTTCACTACACTTCATTTCATTTAACTTTTACCCTTCCATTATTTCTCTATTTATTATTATATTTTATATCATCGCATTAGATGATGTGAGGTAAATTGTTGATAAATTGTTCTTTATTTCTTTTTATTACTTTTGTATTTTTCTTAGATTTATTGTTTTTGTATATAAATTTATTTTATTATTTTTGTATACTGTGTCCTATGTATGATTTTTGTATTTTGTATATTTATTTGTATATTATTTGTATATTTATTATATATTTATATTATTTTTGATTATTTTGATATTTTATTTCTTTATTTAACCTATTCTAATTTAATTATTATTATAATAATTATATGTATAATTAATAAATAAATTGTAATTTATTATTATTAGTATTATTATTATTTTAACTAAACTACCTTTCTTTTTTTACCGTCGCCTGCACTATAGAATAAGACACCTTGAATTTTCTCGCGACTTGTCTTAAACCAGTTCGAGGATGTTCGCGAACATATTCTAAAATATTTTCTTCCATGACCGCTGTTCTTTTTGATCTCGGTCTGCCGGAGATATTTTTATTGTCAGGCACCATTGGCCCTCCTTCGTTAATTCGAATAATTAACCGGGTGATGACTTGGTGCCCGGGAAACCGTTGATCATCGGCGTACTTTTCCTTATACATTTCAGCTGCACGATGACAATTACCGCCCGTTAATGTATGACATTTAAGCATATTTTTATATTCTTGATGTGTATACACAACCATTTTGGATTTGTCAATGAAGACTGAATTTTTTTTAATTGACAAATCACTTCATGACATTTAGGCTAAAGTTAGCTATTCTTTTGATTTTTTTTCAATAGAGAAGTTGGCCGCGTGACAGAAATGGCGATCAAATTTTTCAAATTTATCGTGACTTTTCAATATAGTTAATTTCAATTAATTTAAAAACTATTGCGAATTTTGAAAAAAGAACAAGAAGTGCTATCTTAGAATTTTTTCCTGGAACTCATTTTGCAATTTTGAATGCGACTTTTTCATCACCCTGTATATATATATATATATATATATATATATATATATATATATATATATATATATATATATATATATATATATATATATATATATATATATATATAACTAAATGTATTCTGTATAAAAATAAAGATCTTCGTTGTAAAATTTTTAATTAATGTATTTTTGCAAAAGTGTATCTGATGAGAACACAAAATTCTATGTCAAAACACGTCACTTATATTAATAAAACAAAGCAAGGCCAAAATTAAAAAAACCATTTTTAGTTAAAATCTATTTGCTCTAATCAAAAAAATTTTTAAATTATCATCTCGTCAATATAATAAGTGATAATTTACACACTTGTATGATATCTAAAAAGAAACAGTTTCAAAAACAGAATGCAATAAATACTTATATATCTGAAATTGAAATTAATTGCTTTCAATTATTAAAATAGAAAAATAATTTTCTAATTATTCTGAATGTTCTTGATGAAAATTAACTCTCTGAAATGCAAGAGCGAGCATAATCATGATAAATAAACCATTGACATTGCATTCCAAACATTGCTTTTGAACTTAGTGTTCATCTGACGATGCTTTTTAGCCATAGGACCTTTGGTAATTGTCATTTCTGGCCATCCAAACATACTCCATTGCGTATTTGTGTGAGTCTTAATAATATGCGGCTTGCGGTTTATCCTCAAGGAAAAGAGACACTGTCATCTAATAAAACGATCAGCGATTATCGTGCAATTATGCCGTCTCATTAATCCACTGTGGCAATTATATGTCTTTCTCTCCCTCTCATTCTCCCACCCTCCTTTGGTAAAGATCTACTTGTTCTTTTCCTTGCATTTTGTTTTGTTTCAATAACTTATGAGAGTCTGCACATGCAGCTATGTTGAGACAAGATGTGCATGCCATAGAGAAGCAATTACACATCCTTAAGTATAAAACCTGTTCGCACAATGTCATATATATATAACGCTATTTAATCTCTCGTCAAATCTAAATAGGGCAATGTAATTTTAAAAAGAGATTGTTTAATTTTGGAATTGGGTTTTTTCATCGAAATTGTATTTTTTGCATAAAATATTACCTCTAAAATTATAAATTGGAATTGACTTGGTAAAATTCAAATTATTGTATAAAACAAAAGGGAGACATTTCCTTAGTTTATGTATGACGAGCAAGAGCAAAAACAAGGCAGAAAAAAAATTCAGAATAAGGTTTATTCAAATATAGCAGAGTCCGCGCGCGTGGTGACGAGCAGTGACGCTATTCTTTCGTTTGATGTTGCCGCGGTTGTCGGCATCTGATTAGCATCCCCCTTTCCCCTGTTTGTCCTGGAGCCGCGCCACCCTGCACCTCGTTCATTTGGAAGAGAGAGAGAGAGAAACAAAAGAGAGAGAAAGACAGTAGAATGTAATCATTCGTCCCCGAGTGATAGACGAAGAAAACAAGATGAGGTAGAGTCGCGATGTCACCGTTGGCAGTGCCTCGTCTTTTCCATCCATCCGTCCGTCTGTCCATCTAGTTGTCTAACCGTGGCCGTGAGGTTTGCCTGAGTTATTCCTGATGCCAATGGGGACCGGTCTCTTATACGAGAGAGAAAGAAAGAGAGAGAGAGAGAGCTGCGGCGACATCATTTAAATGTCCCTTTGCGGAGCCCTGGTTTTTAGTCCTCATCTCCACGAAGCC